CACACACACACACACACACACACACACACACACACACACACGATTTAGAAAGTGAAATGAATGAGAAGCCGCTGGTTTCAGGAGGTCAGGCAGGTCAGCCTCACAGCCTAAGAAATCTCACCATGAGATTCCACTTCATGATTGCCGCAGCCAAAGATGACTTTTCAGACTTTCCCACAAACTAGCTTCTTCTCTATTTGCTTAGAGAAGTCACTCATAACTATTTCTGTCAGCTTTCCAGAGCTTTACTTCTCTCCATTCCTCCAAAATTAATGTAAGCCTCATTTCTATAATCAACACTTTACTGGTAGTGCCTCATGTGAATAAACTTACACGATATACCTGGTAAGCAGTGAGAGGCAAATTTTACATTAGTTTTTATCTGATTCTTCCACCTCTGTTCACTTCTGTTCTATCCACTACACTGTGAGCAGAATGTTCTTTCAAAGCAGTATTAAATTATACATTTTTATTGCTTCTAACCCTTCAGTGATTTTTTTTTTATAACCCACAAAAACTGATCCTGAAACCCAGTAGACAATGAAGTATTGTAGCTTCCTTTTCAGGAAGGCTTATAAACATTCATTATCTGATCCATGCATACAGTGCAACTTTAGCTCTCTCATTACGTTTATTCATTTATTTTCATTTTATTTTTTAATTAAATTTATTAGGTGACATCTAGTCACATCAAACTGCTTGCTTTATTGGCTTAAAATGGCTTTCTGCAACTCTGCATCTTTGCCCATCCTTTCCATAGAATCTCCCCTCAATCTTCACCTCAGTAAATTCCAATTCATTTATTCAAGATGCAAACTTCACTCTGTGATATGCTCTTTCTTTACTACTACATTCAACCTTTGCTTGATTGGCATTCCTGACTCTCCCATGTGCTCCTTAACATTTTGGGCACACTCCTGTTACAGATTTGTCATATTGTTTTTATTTTGTACTTGTCTTTCTTCCTCAGTAGGGCATGACTCTTTTGTTAATAATCTCTGTAGTTTTACCATTTAGTTTAGTAATAACACATTCTAAATAATTTTGAAATCGATGGCTATGTTTTTATTTATTTTTATTTTTATTTTTTGGGGGATTCCACTAGTTTTACTTGTTTGCATTTTTTCCTTTAAATATATAATCTGTATTATATTTTTTTCATTGAAGGTTTTTAAGCGCATAAGCAGCATCCTCTGATTTGCATTTAGATAGATACTGTCATGGTAAGGTGGAAGAAATGTTAGAGTGAGACTGTACAAAAGGAAACAAAGTCACAAAACTTGTGATTTGAAAATGTACAATAAAGTTGTGGCATTTCTATTTAGAATGGTTATAACTTACTACTTTGTTTCTGCAAGTCTCCTGAAATCCATAATTTGCTAGGCATTTTCAGACTGAGAACATGCGATAGCTTCCCAACACATTTTAAAGCTGAATTAACTTTCCTGAGCATTCAGAGAGACTGCTGCCACTCCAGGATCACTTTTTTACTGTGCTGGCAACATCTAGAATCCTCCTGGGTCACAATATGTCATGGTTTCAGGGGAAAAGAAATAAAAATACCTCTCCTACTCAATCACTAATACTTAAGGAATAACATTTGTTATTGGATAAAGATAAGACATAAGATTACCCTTAGGAATTCAGGACTCTGGTTTTGAGATGTATATTTAGTTATGACTAGGAAGTGATTTTCATATACCAGGTTTTGTTGAATGCAAAAGGATAGACTGCCTACGGTGTACCTAAAATAGAAAGAAGAATACACCTCATGAAAATCATGGAATTGAATGCACTGATTGAAAACCTTACATCTATGGAGATGTAAAGTAGTGGCAGAGTAGGTGGGGCAGAATATTATAGTCACCCCATCCTAGAACCAAACTGGAATTATAACTAAAATGTAGAATAATAGACCTGAATAACAAACTGGTGACTAGCTGAAGAGGTCTTATAACCAAGGATTTACAGAAGAAGCCACATCCAGATGGGTAGGAAGAGCAAAGATGCTAAAAAGGCTGACCCCGCTCCCACAAACAGCAGCTGAGAAATATCTCAGCTGCTGGGGTTCCCCTGAGAAGTATGGGGTCTCAGACCTAATCCGGGCTCCCCAGCCTAAAGAACCAGAGCCAGAAAGAGGCACCCAAATAATATCTGGCTGTGCAAATCAGCAGGGATTTGCATGCTAGGGAGACACAAGAGTATAGTAGAGACACAGCACCCTCAAATGTCCAACACACAACATTACTCACTCTAGGATCCAGTGGAAAAAGGAAGGAGTGGACTAGAGTTGTGTGAGGAGAGACTTGGGTTTGTGGCTCTGGGGAGAGAGCTAAAGGGACAGCTACCAGGACCCCTCTGCTGAGTACCTCTGCCACACTGCAGATACCAACTTTCTTGGGTTGAGCATCTGTCTGGGGGAAAGCAACAGCCCTATTCTCTGCACTCCCTATAACACTACCCTGCAGAGCTTGTGCCCGGCTGAGGAGTCAGCTACATTGGCCAGGGTGTAGAGGTCTGGGTAAACTCAAGGAATGTCAGTGACTGAGTTGCATGCTTTGGGGCAGGGGCATCCCCCCCCCCCCACTTTCCCATGAACCTAACTGGTGCTTCCCCTTTGTGGGATATCCTTTAACCAACCTCTGAGCTTCTGGCAAACTCACCCTCTGGGCTCCGGCCCCAGCTCCAGAGGCCCCATCTGCCCAATTCCTAGTGGCTTGGCCCTGCCAAGGTCCAGGCAAAAACTAGGACAGGTTGAGAGGTATGACTCCGGGGCATTGGCCATAATCCACAACATTCCCAAAACCTAAACGGCACCCCCTTCTCACAGGAGATCCATAGCCTCATCCTCAGGATCCCAGGAGCCCCAGATTGCTAAGCTCCGTCTCCTCCTGGCAGAAACTGGGACTGACTGAACTGTGTGGATTTAGTATAAGGGCCGTTTTTCCCCTGCATGCCCAACCACAGCAGACCTGTCCTTTCCCATGGTCAAATCTTGGTCTGTTTAGGCCTGATAAATTCCGCTGGCCTCATTGACAACTCCCTGAGACCTCAGCCCAGCACAAAGGTGTGCAAGCACCCAGCGGGTGGCAGTTAGACTTGGTATAAGCAGGGATGTTTGCTGAATGGCTTCAGACCCAGCACTGGCATCAAATTTGAACCTGTATCAGTCTGGTTAACACCACTTGCCCATACCTGGTGACTCACTGTGAACCTACCTCAAGCAGGTTGAGTACAGCCAGAAGCTCTTTCAGTGACTGAGACTATCCAGCAGCCATCAGGCAGAGGCAGGCGGAGGTGAATCTCGGGGTGCATTGGGCTCTTTGCTGACTTGTCCCTGGGCTTAACACTAGTAGAAGCTGGCCTTGGTGCACAGCTTGGCCTTTCCCATGTGTACACATGCCCATCAGAGGCAGTGACAAACTGTAGATCACTTGTAGCTCCAGTTTGCTGAGGGCTACTCACAGGCAGCATCTTATATTGGCCTGAACCAGAGTCCCTCCCAAGATGTCCAGAACCAACACACCCAGAGGCCAGCTTCAGACAACATCAGAGTAGGATTCAATAATCTTCACAAGCAGCATCTCCAAAGGGAGATCTTGACAGGCACCAAACACCAATGTGGCAAATTCTGCTTTGTGTGGTCAGCACCTGCATATCAGCCTGCACACCATGGTTGGGATTGACCTTCACAGTCTCACCACATGAGGGACGATCCAATGCACAAATGGGCCAATAGCAATCAAAACTCAATTATAACAGGGAGATCCACACAAGGAACATTTCTGGAACACCCAGCTCAGGTGATCAAAGAGACTACACTAATGGACCCACAGGGCACCTACTACTACATGGGACACCCCCACGGAGACTGGGGTCATAGCAAATCTATCTAATACATAGAAACAAATACAATATGGTGGCAAAAATGGGAAGACAAAAAAACAAACAAACAAAGAAAACAGGCCCCAAATGAAAAAAACAGGAAAAATCTCCAGAAAAAGAGCTAAATGAACTGAGGCAAGCAATTTACCCAATATAGACTTCATAGTAATGGTTATAAGGATGCTCAATGCCATGAAAAAGGACATATAAACCATAAAAAAGGACTAGCCAGAAATGAAGAATGTAACATCTGGAACAAAGTATACACTGGAATAAACCAGGGGTGCCCAACCTGCGGCCCACTGGCCACGTGCAGTCCAGGATGGCTGTGACTGAAGCCCAACACAAAATTGTAAATATACTTAAAACATTATGAGATGTTTTTGTGATTATGTGTCACAATGTATTTAATGTGTGGCCCACAGCAGTTCTTTTAGTGTGGTGCAGAGACACCAAAAGTTTGGACACCAACAGTAAGTTGGATGAAGCTGATGATAAAATTGGCATTTTGGAAGACAAGGAAGCAGAAAGCATCTAATTATAACAGCAAAATGAAAAAGAATTTTTTAATAATGAGGATAATTTAAGGGACCTTTGGGACAACATGAAGCATAACAACATGAGCATCATAGGGGTACCAGAAGGAGAACACAGAATGCAAAAGATGAAAATCCCATGTGAGAAAACAATGACTAAAACTTCCCTAACCTGGTGAAAGAAAAACATACAGGAATCTGGGAAGTGCAGAGAATACTAAATAAGATGAACCCAAAAAGGACCACAGCAAGACACATCATAATTAAAGTGCCAAAGGTTAAAAACAAAGAGTGAGCCTTAAAAGCAGCTAAAGAAAGATAGATAGTTACCTACTAGGGAGCTTCCAATAAGACTTTTAGCTGATTTCTAATCAGAAATATTTCATGCCATAAGAAATTGGTATGAAATATTCAAATGACCTACAACCAAGACTACTTTACCCAGCAAGGCTATCATTTAATATTGAAAGAAAAATAAAGAACTTCTCAGACAAGAAAAATCTAAGTAAGTGTTACCACCAAACCAGTACTACAAAAAAAAGTTAAAGGGTCTTTTTTAAGAAAAAGAAAAAAATATAGATACTTACCTGGCAGGGAAGATACTATGATCACGAAGGTGGTTTTTCCAGGGTGAGGCTCACCTATCTCACTCCAGATGTGCTGACCCCTGTGATTTCCCCAAATGTGGAAAACTCCACTGCATACTTGGAGGTAGGGAGGGACTGTGTTAGCGCTCTCCCCTGGTTAAAAAAAAGTAGAAACATAGTTAAAAGAATAAAATGACAACAAATATGTACCTATTAATAATCACATTAATGTAAATGGCTTAAATGCTCCAATCAAAAGACATAGAGTAGCAGAATAGATAAGAAAACAAGACCTATATATATGCTATCTACAAAAGAACCACCTCAGAATGGAATATACACACATAGTAAAAGTAAAGGATGAGAAAAGATATCTGCTTTGATATTGTTTCTTTGATGAGGTTTCCCCCAACAGAGGTGGCAGGCAGGTGCCATATCTGAGACTCCGTTAAAGTGGCTCACACTGTTTGCCCCACTCTGGTGATTCCCTATGGCTTTGTTCCATCCAACTTTTAGGTCTACTCAAGCTCTTTCCAAAGGCTTTTCCATACAAATAATATGTACTTGGCTCATTCTTCAGATTTTCCTAAAATCTCTCAAACAGGCAGCATGTGGCCACAGCATTCCCTGTACCGCTCCCTACATGGTGCCAAGCTAAGCCTTCTGAGCAACCAGGTTTGGTTCACAGCTAGGCCTCCCCTGGGAACCTCCAAGCCTAGCACAACTAGCAGCCATCTGCAGATCACTAGGTATTTAATGCCACATGGCCCCAGGCAAAACACAGGTGTCAGCTGACATTGGCCTGCACATTTTGGGAGGCCTCAGAACCAGTGTACACAGTGGACAGCTTCAGACCACATGAAAGCATCACCACCCAACCACCTTCACAAGTGACACACTCAAGGGGGTATTCAGTGGCAGGAAAAAGTCAAAATGATGAAAAGCAAGGACGCACAATGAAGATTACTCCTCCCAGCAAAGATATCATTTAGAATCAAAGGGCAGATGAAGAGTTTCCCAGAGAAGAAAAGGTTAACAAAGTTCATCACCACCAAACTGAAATGAAATGTTTCATTTCAATATGAAATGTTGAAGGGTCTTCTTTATAAAAAAAGAAGAAAAATTAAAACTACAGACAATAAAATGGCAATAAATATGTAACTATGAACAATTGAATCTAAAAAAAAGAAAATAAACAAGCACAACAGGAACAGACTCATAGAAACAAAAAACACTGATGGTTGCCAGGTGGGAGAGGAATTGGAGGAATGAGTGAAAAAAGTGAAGAGATTTAGAAGTACAAATTAATTATTACAAGATAGTCAAGCAGATGAGAAGTACAGCATAAGGAATATAGTCAATAAAATCTTAATTATTAAAAAATCTTGATAAGTATTAGACTTATAGTCCATCAGTTAGTTTAAAAAAGTTGGTTTAAATAAAATACAATTTTAAAAATATAAAAAGTGAATAACAAAATATTGTAAGAAAGTATTATGAACAATTATCTGCACAAATTGGACAATCCAGAAGAAGTGGATAAATAACTAGCAACATACAGTTTTCTAAAATTGAATCAGAAAATCTGATTAGACCAATTACAACTGATGAACCTGAAGCAGTAATCAAAACACACTCATCAAACAAAAGCCCTGGATCAGATGGTTTTACAGGTAAATTTTAATAAACATTCAAAGAAGAATTAAAACATATCCTTTTCAAACTATTTCAAAAAATTCAAGAGGAAGAAAGACTCCCACTTTCATTTTATGAGGCCAGCATTATCCAAATTTCAAAACTAGATAAAGACACTACAAAGAGAAAATTATAGACCAATATACCTGATGAACATTGATGCTAAAATCCTCAACAAAATACTAGCAAACAAGATCTAACAATACATTAAAAATATTTATTCTGAGGATACAATAATGGTACAATATTTACAAATCAATAAACTTGATACACCACACAAACCGCATGAAAGATAAAAATCACATGATCATATCAATAGATGCAGAAAAAGCATTTGATGAAATCCAGCACCTATTTATGATCAAAACTCTCAGCAAGGTGGGAATAAAGGGAACATTCCTCAATATAATAAAGACCATATATGACAAACCCACAGCCAACATCATACTCAATGGGCAAAAACTAAAGCATTTCCCCATAAGATCAACCACAAAACAGGAATGTTTGCTTTCACCATTCTTAGTCAATATGGTAATGATAGTCCTGGCCACAGCAATTAGGTAAGAAGAAATACAAGGCGTGTATATTGGAAAGGAAGAAGTAAAACTGTCATTATTTGCAGATGACTATACTGTTTATAGAGAACCCTAAAGATTCCACCAAAAATCACTAGAATTGATAAGAGAATATAAAAAATACCCAGAAATCAGTTGCATTTTTATATACAAATAATGAATATTTCAAATTTGACATAAGTATATGTGTTGACTCCTAATAGCCCATTTACAATTGCATTAAGAAAAATAAATAAAATACCTAGGAATAAATTTAACCCAGGGTGTAGACCTGTAACCAAAAAAATATAAGGCACTGAAGAAATTGAAGAAGATACAAATAAGCAGAAGCATATACTGTGTTCATTGATTGGAACAATTATCATTAAAATGCCCATACTACCCAAAGCAATCTACAGATTCAACATAATTTCTATCAAGCTATGGGGGTGGGGGCAGGGGGGAGAATAGAGAGTAGAGAAGTCTAGCAAAAATGAAAAAGGACTCATGGGCATGGGCAACAGTGTGGTGTTGTGGGGGATGGCTGTAAGGGGGTTAAATGACAATGGAAAAAATACATTTTTTTAAAGATATAAATGGCATATTAACCAGAACTAGAACAACTATTTCAAAATTTTATATGGAACCACAAATGACCCTGAATAGTTTGTGCTATCATCCTATCAGGTCCTGATGGAATCACTGGTATTATGTAGGAGAAGCAAACACATGGGTAAAGGAAGAAATTACTTTTATTAATTTTCTAGATGCTGCTCTCAATAATGACATGTGAATGCAAATTTGAAAAGGCTAAAAAATGGGTCATCTCCAAGCATTCTCTTACCACCCTAGGTTCAGCACTACTGAAACCACAGCACCAGATTAGTTATACTGCAATGTCTTGAAATTTGGTGCAACATAACACATAAGAGAGAGTGTGTGTTTTATAGGCAGAGAGAATAATGTATAATTCTGATTCTGGCCCTACAATTATGTGAGTGAGTTTGGAGATTTATAACTTTTTAGAAATTTCCTCACCTGCATAGTGGGGCTCAATGATATGACCCAATTCAAAAGGTTGCGATAAGGCTTAAATTAGATAATCTATCTTAAGTGGTGTTATAAGATTTTTATATTTTAGATTATTGTAATTAGTGTACTATATTTGCTAATTTATTTTCATAATAAATGATTCAGTTTTATTTAAAGAATACTTCCAAAAGAAGAGAGATTTTCTCACATTTCTGTACTTTTAATCAACAAAAGTTGACATATCCAATGCAAATATCAATTAACATTACCTCTCCCTTTTCCAAAAAGTATTTGTTAGCATAAGCTCAAGCAGAAAAAAATTAAGCATCACAAGTAAGTAAATGTTCCAATATGCCTTGTAAGATTAAGGTTTTATCATTGAAGAACTTAACAACATATTGTCTGTTTAATTGAAGGTTATTTCAAAGACTGTCTAATGAATACAAAGTTGATTCACTTTTTTATGTAATGAGAAAGACATATTAACTTTTGAAATATGGTCTGAGCCATTTTCTTTTTTCAAGGACATTTTAGACATTTCTGCAACTTAGTCTTTTATTATAATTTTATTCTGGTAAATTACAACGGACTGTCTATGTCAATAACCGACTATTCAGGCACTAAAATGAAACTGTAATAATCAGTGATAATATTATACTATTTTATTTTAACAGAGATACCAATATATCTTTATTGTGGTAAACTTTGACTGTATCATAGTACTCTTTATATCACTTCTTTAGTGAGACCCAGGGGAAATATTATCTTTTATGTTAAACAATGTTTATTTCAAATGATTATCCTTGAGAAAAGTAGAGACTTACCTGCGTTCATAAGAACTCTCTTGGGAAAAAATAATTTTACATCAGTAAGCAGTATTATTTTACTGACTTTTTCTTTTTTTTTTTTTTGCTTTTCACATAGAAAAAAATTAAGGGGAGATAATCACATTGATAAATTTCCTCTGCTCTACTATTAATTTTGATCATTAAACCCAAATATTTCATTCTAGTGATAAATAAAACTGCCTTACAAACAGGCATGGGAATGTTGGGATATTTACTTAATATTTTTATGATAAGAACACTTCATATCTATCCTCCTAGTAAGTTATTAATTATATGATACAGTAATGTTAACTAAAATGATGCTAATAATAAAGATAAAGAGAGTGGGAGGAAACTTTTAGAGGTCATGGTCCGTTTATGTCATCAGCTGAAGTGGTAGTTTCACTGGTATGTGCTTCTCTCCAAACTCACCAAATTGTGCACATTAAATACGTACAGCTTTTTGCATGTCAATTGTACCTCAATTAAGTGATTTTGAAACAGAAATGTGGAGATATTTATGTCTCAAATCCTCTCACTAGGGGTCCTCATTCCAGAATATTACTAAGCTCTTAAGGAATATTGTTGTACTCAGAGAAAAGATTTCTTATTTTCTGGAGTCTGCTAAAAACTTCTAAGTTGAAAATAATATGATTTCTATAATGTAGGCTGCCCAATACATTTAGCTACATAACACTACTTAATTAAAAATAAACAGCAACTTGTTTTTTGAAAATGAAAGTTATTCATTCTTCTAGAAAAGGTGATTTTCAGTCTTAAAATTTTCAAACTTTTCCTGTCATTTGTTAAATAGTATATCCTTCTTGACAATTTTCAAATGAAGTGTTAAGGAAAAAAAAATGACTAATGAAATTAGGATATCCCAATTACCCTGTAGCTTTTCTTCCTAATCACTTAAATGCAAATCAAATGGTTTTTAGAAACAGTAGTGACACTGCCAAAAAGTAAATGGCTGTGAGCACTGATTGAATTTATCCTTTTGTGCCTCACATTTTATTATTTTTACCTAGACACCTTATCCTTACTG